ATGACTGAGCTGCTGAACAACAAATCAAATTTCCCATAATATTAGGTTTCCTGCATCGCAGACAGATTCTTTACCAACTGAGCTACCAGGGGAGCCCAGAACTAGAACAGATAATCCTAAAATTCATATGGAACCATAAAAGACCCAGAATTGCCAAAACAATCCTGAAGAAAAAGAACAAATCAAGAGGTATAACCCTCCAGACTTCAGACAATACCACAAAGCTACAGTAATCAAAACGTTATGCTATTGCCACCAAAACAGACATATGGATCAACAGAACAGAGGAGAGATCCCAGATATACACCCACACACCTATCATCAATTAATCTTCAGAGGAGACACATATATTCAGTGGAATGAAACAATATCTTCAGCAAGTGGTGTTGGGAAAGTTGGACAGTCACATGTAAACCAATAGAATACTCCATTACATCATACACAAAAATAAATTCAAAATGGCTTGCAGACTTAAACATAAGATGTAATACCATAAAGAGAACACAGGCAAAACATTCTCTGACATAAATCGTACCACTGTTTCCTTAGGCTCCCAAGACAATAGAAATAAAATCAAAAGTAAACAGGACCTAATCAAATTTACAAGTTTTGCATAGCAGAGGAAACCATAAACAAAATTAAAAAACCACCTACAGAATGGGAGAAAATATCTACAAATGATCTGACCAACAAGGGATGAATTTCCAAAATATACAAACAGCTTGTACAACTCAATAACAACAACAAAAAAAACCAACTGAAAAATAGGCAAAAGACCTAAATACACATTTCTCCAAAGAAGAAATACAGATAGCCAACAGGCATATGAAAAGATGCTCAACATGGCTAGTTATTAGAGAAATGCAAGTCAAAACTACAGTGAGGTACACCTCACAATGGTCAGAATAACCATCATTAAAAAGTCTGCAAAAGAAATGCTGGAGAGGATGTGGAGAAAAGAGAACCCTCCTACACTGTTGGTAGGAATGTAAGTTGATAAGCCACTGTGGAAAACATTATAGAGGTTCCTTATAAAACTAAAAATACAACTATCATATGATCCAGCAATCCCACTCCTGGGCATATATCCAGACAAAACTGTAATTCAAAAAGATACATATACCCCTGTGTTAATAGCACTATTCACAACAGCAAAGACATGGAAATAACCTAAATGTCCATTGACAGATGAATGGATAAAGAAGATATGGTGTGTATACACACACACACACACACACACACACAATGGAACAGTTCTCAGCCATAGACACGAATGAAATAATCCCATTTGTAGCAACATGAATGCATCTAAAGATTATCATACTAAGTGAAGTGAGAAAGATGAATACCATATTATAACACTTATATGTGGAATCTGAAATAAGACACAAATGAACTTATTTATGAAACAAACAGAATCATGGACAAAGAGAACAGACTGGTGGTTACCAAGGAAGAAGGGGCTGGAGAAGAGATAGACTGAGAGCTTGAGGTTAGCAGATGTAAGCTTTTATGTATAGAATGGATAAACAACAAGGTCCTACTGTATAGCACACAGAACTATATTCAATATCTTATGATAAACCACAGTGGAAAATGAAGTTTTAAAAAGAATGTATATCACAAAAATAAACTCAAAATGGATTAAAGATCTAAATGTAAGACCAGAAACTATCAAACTCCTAGAGGNAAAATAAAGAAAAAAAAAGAAATCCTTTCTTATCCCAAAGTCTTAAGGCATTCTTCTATGTTATCTTTAAATGCTATGTAGTGTCTGCTTCATGTTTACATCTTTAGTCCACCTGGCATAGAAACTTCAGTAGACTGTTCAGTAGCAACCTAAGCTCAGGTTTTCATATAGATAACCAGTTGTCCTGGCTCTTGAACAACCACATGTTAGTGTAGGCTTAGCTCTCTGGGAAAGCATGATATGACCACATGACTGGGTCCAGGTCCTTGTCTCACCAACTATAACCTGAACTGCTTACTTATTGGCTATTTGAGGAAAGCTTTCAAATTTGCTTTTTATCAGTATCACTAGATAGTTTCACTTGACAGCTTCATTGCATTAATTCAGATTCTGGCTGGCTGCTAATCTCTGCTATCCAGTGTCTTTTTGTCAAGTCACTGTATAGCAGGCAAGAGGAAGAGGCACCAGGCAAGCCAGGTTGGCCAAACATTAACTGGTGAGGGGGTTGGAGTTCAAGTGATTTGGTCCTCTCTCCAGAGCCTTTGCTGTTGGGAAGAAGTCACGGCAGGATTTGAAGCCTGCTGTATTTACATTAAAAAAAAACTGGACTTTGATCTCTTCTTTAAATTTCCTATAACCATACAATGCTTCTGGCACCTTAACTTGTTTCCCTTATTTTGTCTTTTACAGTATGACTTTAAAAGCAGGCAGTAAGTAGACATCTCCGCCATGGGAAAATGCTGGTGACAAATGAATTCTGCATAATCTTCTTAATGTGGCAGTTTTCCATTTCAAACTGTTAGGCATTGAGACATCAAAGCAGCTGAGTGGCAGTCCTGAACTTCAGATAGATACAGTCCAAAAGGCTGCTATTGCTCATTCTTGATGATCAGGAAAATGTGGATAAAAGGTGCCAATTATGAATTAAGTTCTGGCTGTTTCACCCACCCCTGTTGCACCTAGATGTGCTAAGTCACTTTGGAGCTTTCCCCTGAGACAGGCTGGCCCTAGGGTGGGAGATGACAGTGTGTCCATGTGGATTCAGGTCAGGTGGCAGAATCACCTGGAGAATGCCTCCAGTGAGTACTCACTGGGGTTTGAGGGGCTCACAGCTGGTTTGTTGAATGAATTATAGAAGTGATGGCACTGACTTTGGGTCAGAGGACTCTCTTGCACGGTTTCTCCTTCTGAGTGATCTTGGGCTGTTACATGGCCCACAGGGCCCTCCCTGACTCAGCCCTGCCACCTCCCCAGCTCCTCCCCTTCCCTAGAGCTCCAGGCTCCTGCATAAAAAAAAAAATAAAAAAAAATAAAAACAATAAAGTTAATTAAAAGAAAAAAAAGAATGTATATAAAATGTATAATTGAATCACTGTGTACAGCAGTAATAAACACTATAAATTAACTATACTTAAAAAAAATTTTTAAGGGATCAGAAACAAGTAGTATTTCTTGAGGAAAAAAATCAAAATTCTATCAAGAAGGCTGAGCCTTGGCAAAGAAATCTAGGTGGTACATGATAGGAAAATGATAATTGACAGAATCAGTTCTCTTGCCAGAGCCTGAAAGGTAGACAGTTAAAGAAGGCTATTTAAACAATTACTTCACTGATACACCTGAAGCAGGGAAAGGCTACCTACTCCAGCATTCTGGCCTAGAGAATTCCATGGACTGCATAGTCCGTGGGGTCGCAAGGAGTCACAGATGACTGAGCAAGTTTCACTTCACTCACTGACACGAGCGGTCTGTGCATCTCTCTCCTCCTAGGCAATTGCCTTTTAATTTCCTCCTTTAAAAAGTCCATTTACATGTAGCACAGTGATATGTATGTGACTGGCAATAATTACTGCCAACATATCTACAGTTCCCTTGAGTAAGGTCATTAACTCCTCAAGAGCAGCTCAGAGGTAGTCATCATTGTAATACTTAGTTAACAAATGAACAGAGATTGTGAACTTGTCCACTAGAAATGCTAAGAGCAGAATGCCACTCTGGGTCCTCTGGCTTCAGGTCCTATGCCATGTCCAGCATTCTCGATGACCCTATGATCGGGAGGTCATAGACGGTGAAGAACTTTGTATTTCATGCCAAGGAGCTCAGAATTGACAAAGGAGCTAGACCTCTAGGAGGTCCTTAGAGGGATCCAGTGAAGCGGTGCTTCTCTGTGGAACCCTGAAGAACACCAGCGTTTAAAGAGCAGACAGAAGCCTATGGACAAAGCCTCATTCGGTTCTATATATACCTGAAGTTAGGATCCACCGGCATCTCAGGGAAGGGATCAAAGTCTCCAGAAAAGTTTCACCTGAGGTAAAAGGCCTTACTTTTACCATTTTCCACTATATTTTCCATATAACATCACCATTTTCCACCACAGGACAGTAATGTACTTGCCATCCCCCCTCAACCTCCCCCATCCCCGCCTCAATGTTTGGTTATTAAACAAGAAAGCCAGTATTCACGGTGTATTTGTTCATTCAAATATGTTTCTGTTCTCCAGAAATGTGTTATCTGAAATATAGTAACATTTATATTGATTCCACAGCTTGTATAAACTTTAAGACAAGAAAAACAATGCAAGAAATAATCAACCCTTACCTTGCGATCTTAAAAGTAGGTTACAGCTTGTATAAACTTTAAGACAAGAAAAACAATGCAAGAAATAATCAACCCTTACCTTGCGATCTTAAAAGTAGGTTACAGCTTGTATAAACTTTAAGACAAGAAAAACAATGCAAGAAATAATCAACCCTTACCTTGCGATCTTAAAAGTAGGTTACAGCTTGTATAAACTTTAAGACAAGAAAAACAATGCAAGAAATAATCAACCCTTACCTTGAGATCTTAAAAGTAGGTTCCCCTTTTCAGTGTAGTTCATCGGAATAGTCCTTAAAGCTGTGAGCATGAGGTCTACCATTCCATTCTTCAGCTGCTAGTGTTGCCTCTCTGTACTTACTAGTGATGTGCCCCAGCTTCATTAGTGAGATTTTCACTGTTGGAAGTTAGGAAGCTCTGCTTGGGAAAGAGAAAAGGAAGAAGAAAAAACCAATAAACTATTTAAGAATTAAGTGGGCTGTAGCTTTCTTGTCTACAAACTGGTAGATATCACTAAGGTATTTCCCAATGTATATATTCCTACCTGTATTTGATTTGCTGGGAAGTGATAGCAAATGTTGAGTCTGGGGCTTTTCCTACAATCTCCTACCCAAAACCATATATACTACAGCATACATTAGCAAACATTAGAACATATGCTTTTATGAAATCCAGCTAACCAACTGATTTATAACCTTGTTCCTTTTTTTTTTAACAGAGAAAAGTCTTTGCCGGAAGTGCAATGAAAACTGCAAGACATGTACTGAATCTGACAACTGTACAGAATGCAGGGAGGGGTTAAGGTAAGAGTGTGAAAGATTTCACCAAGTAACATAGCCATTTTAAAAAAAGAAAAAAGTAAATAGGTAACTCTCTTATAAGTCACCCTTGGTTTGACTCCCATTCAAACACTTGATTGTTATTTGCATTATCTCTATCATTTTATGTGAAAAATTGGATGCTATCTTGGCTTCAGAAGGTTTATAAGCCAAATAAAATTCTTTCTAGAAAAGATGGCTCAACTACAAGTAAATAAATGGCCATTTGAGAGACTTTCTTTGGGCTTTTTGACCGGCAGTGTATCAGTCAAGGATTACTGCGTAGGTAACATCAATGAATTACATTTAATCCCCCTGATTCATTCCTTTGATGGTCGAAACTATTCCCTTATCTTTATTATTTCTCTCCATATAGCCAATCATTGTCTTATCTTAAGCACCTCAGGCTGGTTCCATTATGCTGTGGTATGCACATAGATTTAATAGCAGGAGATGTCATCCTTGAATGGATGAGACTTGCTCATTGCTAAAGCCAGACAGTTGATAGATTTTGAGAGAATAACACCCAGCTCAAGTGACTAGGTATTCTTGATATCCTTAAAGAAGGTCGGATCATCCCATTCTGAGTGAGGGGCTAGACCCTGGCTTTATTACATAAAGTTAGAATTCTGTTCCATTCCATCCCTTTTAAGAGTTCCCTGATGGCTCAGAGGGTAAAGCATCTGCCTGCAATGCAGGAGACCTGGGTTTGATCCTTGGGCTGGGAAGATCCCCTGGAGGAGGAAATGGCAACCCACTCCAGTATTCTTGCTTGGAGAATCTCATGCTTGGAGGAGCCTGGTAGGCTACAGTTCACCGGGTCGCAAAGAGTCGGACACAACTGAGTGACTTAGTACCTCTATTTCCACTTTTGATCAAAGGCACAATAATCAGGGTCTAGGCAGTTTCTAGGCAGGCAATCTTTTACGTTAATTAATAGGGGAACATAATTTTTATTTAGATTAATTGATTATTTGTGGCTTTCTTTTTTCTCCCATAAATGCATTCAGTGTCCATCTGTTTTGCACCTTTCATCTCAAGACTTCAGTTTTGTTAAATGTCAGTCTAGTCAGCATCCTACTACTTTTCTGGAGAAGGACCAGACTGTTATAATTTTTTAAAAAAGGAAGATAAATGTGGGTTTAAATCTTTCTCTGCCATTTATCAGCTGTGTGATCTTGGTTAAGTCCGTTCACTCCTCTGAACTTCAGTTTTATCATCTATAAAAGGGTAATACTAACCTCAAAATTGCTGGATTATGATAAGGATTAATTGTGATAACATCTATAAAGCACTTATTCCAATATCTGACATTGAATTGGCCCATGAGAAATAGAAGATCAGGATTATTTTCTATATTTCTTAGGGAACATTCTCTAGAGTAAAAAATGTTCTCTAATAGAAATGAGAGCCATATATATTAATTTTAAATATGTGAGTAGCCACATTAAAAGGAGTAAAAAGATACAGGTGAAATTTATTTTAATGAAATCTTTAACCAGATATATCCAAAATATTATTTCAACATGTAATCAATATAAGACAATATGAAAGATAATCAGTGAGATATTCTATATTTTGTTTGTAGTGCCCAGTCTTCGAAATCTGGTGTGTATTTCACCCTTAAAGCACATCTCAATTAAGACAGTAATTTTTTGAGAAATACTTGATCTGTATATAGATTTTATAAAAATTTAGTTGAAGTAGATTTTAGACAGCCAAGTTGTTCCACACTTATTCAAAAGTTTTCTGATAACTGAATCAAGTGCCAATTTGTAAGATTTAGAGTGAAATGAATGAAAATAAAATGTTAAATTCTGTGCCTTGGCCACACTAGCCACATTTCAAGTGCTCTCGAGCCCACAGGTACTAGAGCATGTGGGACGGCACACATCTAACTCAGCTGGTTCATCCCAGCATGAACCCAGTACCAGGTTCGCTTGCCTCGCCACCCCCGGAGTTTGGAAGTAGCAGAGTGCATCGCAGTTCCCAGGGGTGATCTGCCGCACGTCCCCTCCTCACATCCCCTCCTCACACACTGCAAGTGACAACCTCAGAAGTAATTTCCTTTGGTAGAAAAACAAGGCAGCTTTAAAAAAAAACTTTGATAAGTTTATCAGTGGTCCTATTTCCTCCCACAAAAGGATTCATTTGATGCACTGTCCCCTTTTTCCAGCTCTACCAAAAGGAAAGGGATTTTCTTTTATTGGCTTTTTAAATGACACCTCTCTGGCCAGAAGAGATCTATGAATGAAGTACACTTTCTGTCTTCTTGAGGCTTCCTTTGTTTTTCTTAGGGGCTTCTAGCGTTGACCATTTTGCCTCACAAGACCTGTAAATTTTTAAATAGTGGCTAAGTAAACAGAAAAATATCTATGCATAAAATACTAGAAGGATATGGATTAAAATGTGAACGGGACTGTTTGGGATTCTTTTTCATCTACTTTGGTTTTGTTCTTTCCAAATTACTTTAAAGAGAAAAATAAATATATAAAAATATTTATATACATATAAAAAAGAAAGGGAAAACTGAATGTTAGTTTTTAGTAGTATGATCCATATACAAAGCACAATCAAGTAACATGTGAATTGCAGCAACGTAGAGAAATGTATTTTCTGTAAGAACACAGAAAGCATTTGACTCTGTTGCTTAGATACCCATTTTCTAGAACTGTCTACTGGGTGACATGGGGTTATGGTAACAGTCTCACTACTGAGTTATTCCATGAGTAATGTTTGTATATTAAATGCTGTAAATTTTAGACATTTGTTTTTAAGAATCAGTCTGTAGGCTATGAAAAACCTTACAGGTGATAAAAAATTAGAAGAAAAAAATACACATTCCTCATTCAACATTCTAGCAACATATTAGGTAATGCCTAAGAGTGCTATTTAGAGAAAACATAGCACAGATAACACCTAAAAATACTAAATAATAATGTAACTAAGAAAAGTTGAGATGTTTGGTAAAGCAGCAATATAAGTGAATAATTTTGCCAAATATTTCATTAGCGTTTAATAAATGAAGCAATAGAAGCAAAAGTATGTTAGGATTCTCTTGTTTTGGTCCAAGAGAAGAACTAAAATCAGAAACAGTTAAAATTTTAAAAAGGCTATTCCAGGGAGTTTGAGCTGAGGGCTGGGTGGGATAGTTGTACCCTTCTATTCAGGTATAATTCATTTTACCACGTATTCCTATGACATATACAGTTACAGAACAACATTTACCGTGGAGTAGGTCTAGAAGGTCTGGGATTGGTAGGCCTATTGTTAGGTAAGCTGATTGTTTTGGTCCATAAAATACTTTTAAAAACCTCCAGGTTGTAAAATGAGTGAAGAAAAAATGTATCAGCCAGTCTCATAATTAAGAGGAATGTCCTCCAAACTTGCAGCACATGTGTAGGCTACAGACTTATTACAGGCACAGAGAAGCATTCTAGGCATCAGGAGGAGAAAAAAGAGGGGACAGGGGCTATTTCACCTGCTTTCAAGTTCTCCCAAATCCACTGACCTCTGGGGGAAACTGTGTGTGTTCCATACGGCCCTGGGGAGTCATGACCTCTTTGCCCGACCACAGCTGTCTGTCTTCAGCCTGCAGGGGTCCCGGTGTGCTGTCACCTGTGAGGATGGATGGTACTTCAACGGCCAAGACTGCCAGCCCTGCCACCGCTTCTGCGCCACCTGTACTGGTACCGCCTCCCCTCTCCTCTTATTTATCCCTCTAGCTCTGGTTTGGCTTTCGTTTGTCTGTCTTTATCCATCAGTCATGCACACCCTCTTGGTAATTTTTTTTTTTAATTACACTTACTTTTCTAGCTTTACTGAGGCATAGCTGACAAAAATTATATACTTTAAGATGTACGTGTGATGTTTTGATATACATAATACAAGGTAGTTAACATATTCATCACCTCACACAGTTTGTGTCTGGTGAGAACACTTAAGATCAACTCTCTTAGCTGAGTTTTGAGTATACAATACAGTATTAACTATAGTTACCATGGCGTACGTTAGATTTCCAGAACTTTTTCATCCTGCATAACTGAAGCTGTACCCGTGGATCCAGGTCTCATTTCCCCACCCCAAGTCCTTGACAGCCCCCATTCTACTTCCGCTTTCATAAGTTTGACTTCTTTTTTAGATTCCACATTTATGTGAGATCATGAGGTATTTGTCTTTTCCTATCTGGGTTCGATTTTAAATCTAACAGTAGTACTCAAACTTCTGTGTTGAAAATACATTCCAAGGAAGCCAAGGGTAGATGCAAGACGTGTGCAGGCAACCTCTTGATAATCTTAGTGTAAATGCTGGGGAAGCATGGAGCTCTTCTGACAATCATCATGCGTTCTCAAACGTCAGTCATCAGCAGCCTAACCTCACTGAAAACTTAAAATGTCCCAGCGATACCTCCTTCGCTTTCAAAAGAGGTTTGATGTTTTTTGGCAAATGGGTTCAATCTAAAACTGAAGCAGTTTTCCCCCAGAGAACATAAGGAAAAGCACAAATGTTACAGGTCTCAAAATTGCAACCTATGAATGCCATTTTCACCAATTATGCAAAAAGCAGCCTGCTGGGCAACCTTTTCTGAGGTTTTGTTTCTGTCTCCTGCATTTGTCTTGCTTTTAAGGCGCGGGCGCTGACGGGTGTATTAACTGCACAGGGGGCTACTTCATGGAGGAGCGGCGGTGCGTGCAGAGCTGTAGGATCAGCTACTACTTTGACCACGCTTCAGAAAATGGACACAAATCCTGCAAAAAGTAAGTGGATTCCCCCCCCCATTTAAGCCCCAGCATATAGCGACTGGGTTCCTTATTTGACTGCCTTCATAAATAATAAGAAACGTACAATTATTAACGAAAAATAAGGTACAAACATTTACCTATGGACACCACCTCTCTACAGCTTTACACCCAACTGATTTGTGTGTGTGTGTGCCTCAGGAGTACTTTAAAACTTCTAAAGTTGTATTTCTGTTTCAAGTGCATGCTCTCTCCTCTTTAAAACCGGTCTACCTGCTAGGTTTTCTTTAATGTTGTCAATTAAAGCAATGCATTTCAGAAAATATTTCTGTGGCATCTTCAAAGGGAGAATTAAATGTAAGATGTTAAGAGACTGACAGTAAACACACCTTTTCCTGCGCCTGACATGTGAGAGGATGATGCATTGTACATTCTCCCCATAGATGTGACGCCAGCTGTTTGACATGCAATGGTCCAGGGATCAAGAACTGTACAAGCTGTCCCAGTGGGTATCTCTTAGACTTAGGAATGTGTCAGATGGGGGCCATCTGCAAAGACGGTGAGTACAACCACTTATTTTGATCTTCTGAGAATAGTGTGATCCTTCCACGTTAAGGTCTAATATATATTTCCACTTGAAAATATTAACTATCAAGCATGTCTCAGATAGGACATGCTGATGTCTTGTTGGTGTTCCTTGAACTTATACCTTCAATGGGTTTAGTTTCCTGGTTGTCTTAACTGCAAGAAGAACTAAAGCATCCACTGACCAAGATGGCACCAGTTAATTTTTCTTAATTAGTAAACTTTGTTCTTGAAAACTTTAGCGCTTCGGGTTCAGAGCAAAATTCAGCAGAAAGTACAGAGAATTCCCATATATCCTCTGACCACACTACATACATACACATATACACACACACTGTCACTCACTATCAGTATCCCTCACCAGAGTGGTATGTTTGTTACAGTTGATGAACCAACACTGACACATCACTGTCACTAAAATCTACAGTTTACATTAGGGTCCACTTTTGGTGTTCTATGAGTTTGGACAAATGTATAAAGACAAGTATCCGGCACTGTAATATCATACAGATCACCCTTCACGACCCTGAAAATCCTCTGTGCTCTGTCTGTCCCTTCCTTCTTCCCTCCCTCTGGAAACCACTGATTTTTTTTTTCACTGTCATCATAGATTTGACTTTCCCAGAGTGGCTTATAGTTGGAATCATACAAAGACTAACTAGAAAAGGCTACATATTGTATTGTTTTCCAGTCTTCCGTCATATGTACTTTTTGCTAGATTTTTAAAATACCAGAGTTTTGTACCTTGCTTTCTGCTCTAAGCATTAGATAAATGCTACCCTATGTTTTTACAAAATCTTCAGAAACTTCACTTTTAATAATAGCTTAATAGTCTACCTTGTGGATATGCCACAGTTTATTGCCACTCTCCTCTTATTTGGATTGTTTATAATTTTGATATGTAAATAACAATCAAATGGCATCTGAATCTTTTATTAAGCCGTGATAGGTAGGCATCTGTCTAATGATAAAACCACTTACAAATTGGTTCTAATGCTAATATTGGTCCATTTTTCTTTTCATTCCACCAGTAGTTCTCAACCAAAAGGCCAGGACCCCACACCTTCCCCCAAGATTCATTTAAACTGGTCTTGGGGTAAAGCACTGATAGCTTTAGAAGCTTCTCAAGTGTTTTTAATGTGCAGCCATTCACTCTGATAATTTGGCAAATGCCAAGTTCTCTCACTTTTTTGGCCTCCACCATTTCCCTACCCATAAAATGAATGAATTTAAATTATTCCAACTCCAATCTCTTGTGAGTTTTGACTTTAGATATAATTCGTGCAGAGACGACTCTTAAATTTGTGCCTAGACTTAATGCAGATGTGCATCTCAACAATGTAGAAATAAAATATTTGAACCATCATTGTTCTAAACATCTTGGACTGTTAGGGAAATAGGAAAATAAAAAATGATGCATTTGGAACCGTTTTCCCTGATAAAATAATTTCCCTGCGTTTAATCTTTGTGTTCCTTTGCATGGTTCCTCTTTGGAAATTTCACAAGAGGCAGAAGAGTGCTATGGTTGGGAGAATGTAGATTCAGAAGTCAGAATGCATCATTCTTATCTAGACTCCAGACCTTGGACAGGTTATGAGTTTTTTTTGGCCTCACGGCCCTCAGTTGTAAAAATAAAAAGGATAATACTGTTGCCCTCATATGGTTATCTGATAACTTCCCATTAGGAATCTCAAACAACAAAAATATCTGAGCGTGTGATGGCACCAGTAGGGAAATCATTTATGCTCTCATGTCCACAGAGCGTCTAAGTGACTTTGCATCTTCATAGCTCTTCTAATGTATGATTGACCTGGCAGGGACAGGCAGACCTGCTCAGGCTCTACATTCAGACTTTTCATGGCCAGGGCTAATTCTCACCACACAACACTCAGGTAAGAAGACTGGGAGTGATGACACTCCAGATACCATGTAAGTATTACTTTCTAATTATCAGCCAGTGATCCTTACCCTCATGTTAAAAGCTGATCCCCCTCTATCTGAATATGATCAGAATTTGTGTAAGCCAGTAACTGAAAACCAAGGAAGATTTTTAAGCCATTGACCCAAAAGATGCACTATGACTTGAGAGGTTCACCCATAGTACTTGGTAACAGGCATTTCAAGGTTTATGATCTTTCAACTGCTTTCCCTAAACCATGGTAAGCACGGAATCACTTATGCCAATGGCATAAGTGGAGTGTCAGGATTGTGGGCAAAAGTGGAAAATGAAGAACCATGATTTGTGATGAGTCCATTTTCAGGTAGGTTAAAGAATGAGATCATTGATGGCTCACTCAGCTTTTCAAATCACATGGCAATTGCCATGTGCTATTAGGGATGTGTTATTATTTTCTTTCAACTTTCATATTTCAGTGATTCTAAGACACTTTTTTAGTATATTTTTAAGCTCTGGAATCAGATGCATCTTATAATTCATGGCAGCTTGCAACTGCTTTCATCCACAGGTTGATGTGATGTAGCTGTCATTGCCTGTGACTTAGTCACAGATATATCTAGTCAACTGAGGCACATGATCACTCCTACTTATGTGGCATTTAATTGCACTTCCTAGTAGCTTTAAGAAGTTAAACTATTTCTCAATATTCAAAGGAAGAGTTATTACATAAGCCCAGGAAAAAACAGTATGTTATGCAAATACTTTTATAAGCATAAAACTAATATGCTAACTGACAAAAGGTTATTGTGTCACCGTTTAATAAGAATTTTTCTTGGCAGTACTTAAAAAAGTGGTGCATCTGAAACCCAGTGTCTTAGACTCAATGAAATATGGTGTAAATGAGTGTAGATGCTCTGTTCTAGGTAATTCCAGAAAGAAAAATCCTCGCTTGTATTTTTATTGATTTCTAATTTATTCTTTTTCTAATCTTTTTTCCTTTTCATAAATGGATACCAATCACATTTACCGTTGGACTGCAAAACAATGCTTCTTGAAAAACAATGCTGTTGACTGAAATCACTTTGGGTGGACCAAATTTCCTCCTGTTGACTGCTCCCGAATGATCTCTTCCAATCCCCCCAATCTGCCTCTCTGGCCAATCACAACCTTCTTCCGTGTGTGTCCATCATGCTGCTCTCGTCTTCAACTTCCCCTGTCTCTTGCTGACTTCCTGGAAAAGCAACGGAAGAGTCCTGGGCGGAAGGAGGCTTCTGTATGCTAGTGAAAAAGAACAATCTGTGCCAGCGGAAGGTTCTTCAACAACTGTGCTGCAAAACATGTACATTCCAAGGCTGAGCTGCCATCCTAGATTCCTTTGTTCCTGTAGACTTATAGATTACTCCATATTATTATTAAAAAGAAAAAAACAAGCAAAAAAAAAAAAGCAAGCCACCTCTCTCTTTCTTGCTCTCTTTTTCTCTCTCGCTCCAATTTGTGCAGGGAGATGGTGAACTGTTCTGTCAGAACTTAAATGGAAAAAGAAATAAACCTACAACAAGCCTACCTTTTATAACTGGGTGTTTCGTGCTAAACAGCCAGAACCACAGAGACAGTATTGTATGACCAAAGCATCTGATGCCAAAATTTGACGTTAAAGTAATGATCTGATTTCCTGCCCTGTTTTTGAAGGTCCGTTTTTGTTATTGTTTTTTTTTTTTCCTTTTGCATTTACTTGCTTGCTTCCCCCTTTGAGATGCCTAAAAATCCCTTTCAAAAACATCACAAGAGCAGACATAGATCAAAATGAAACAGAAAGCTCTTGCATCCATCATTTTTCATGCTTGAGTCCACTGTTGGGGGAAATGGCAGAAAACTGGACCTAAGGGCATTAAGAACATCCCACAGAGTTGTGTTCAGTGTCATTTGTCTTGGTTTTTCACAGCTGGCCATTGATACTTTCCACACATAATTTACTTCATGCATTATGTGCTGGTTTTGGCATTATGCCCACTTGATAAGTCTGCTCCACTGGTTTCATCAGATAGACTTGCTGCTACTGGCTTTTCCATGGTAGATTCGGTTATTTTACATACAGCTGGTCAAATGGGATTGCTTTGCATAGTCAAATTGGTGATGGACAGAATGCAAAGATTCACAGAATAGCTGAGACTGATCCAGCTCACCCAAATCCAGAGTGTTCACTTGTAAACCCTGCACATGCTCTTGGTGCTATTCAGCCATTACCCCATAGCATTTTTTTAAGGTCATCAGAAATTCCATGTGTTGTAGTGGGAAGTGTTTTGGATAGGATGAAGGAAATTTCTTCCTAGAATCAAAAGTTTCTAAAAGGTCCTGTATTTTTTAAGAAATGGAATTTATTTAAATAATATTTAAGCCCGTGCCCAAGTTGGCAGGGTAACATTTTTCAATGGTGCTTATTAGAAGTGTTTCTCATCTTATCATTTTAAGAAAATAAAACTGGAAATGGAATATGGGCAGCATGATTGTACCTTCCTGGTTCTGTTCTTTCCCCACTCCTCTGTCTGTCTATAACCATGCTGATACACCTGTCCACTGAATGTCAGTGAGACCATCTGTTTTCCTAGAAATATATTCACTGGTTTTCTATGAGTCCCCAAACACATCCTGGAATCTAGCAGACTGACTTATGTGAATACTCTTTGGATCAGTGGTCAGAAATGAGGAAGCTTGATAGATCTTTTTATAATTCTTAAGTTTCTCTATTTAGGAGAGCCGAGACTAATATCAAGTTTCTTCATGTTTCATATCAAAGCTCCATTGGTGACCTCATTTGCTTTGAGAGTGACCAGCCATCTTGCAGGCTTTAGGCTTCGGACAGCCTCACTTCCAAGATGAGAGGAGGAATGATATCGATATAGGTTATCCTGGGAAATGGATGCTAACTAAGGTCCCCATCCAAGAAGCAAGCTAGTAAAAAAGCCTAACTTGAAAATTTGTATTCCAAGACATCAAAGTTAACATTTAACCCAAGGTAAATAATGAGTACAGTCTAATGACCCTTTTAATAGCACTGCAGTGATACTAAGTCATGGAAT